CACTGAGAGGACGGGGAGTGAGTTCCCTTTGTTCCAGTTGTGCAGCGCCACTCGCTCCCGGCTCCCCGGGGAGGGGCGAGATCGGCGGCTCCTCCAGCCGAGAGCCCGCAAGAAAAGTCGGCACAAAACCCCGGCGCAAGGGGAATTCATTCACATCTGCTCCCACTGCATGTCCCGCCGAGGCCAGCCAGGTGTGTGAACAGCCGTGCAAGCGCACGCACGTGTGTGTGCACGCACGCACGTGTGTGTGCACTCACGCTTTCCCGAGATGCACCTTGCCAGCAGGCCTGCTCCGCAGGCTGGACACTCGGGGGCAGAACGCATCTTTTCGGTCTGTCTGGGGTACAGCGCCTGACACAATGCAATTCTGGTTCATGAAGGAGGCGCGGGTGGGGGCGGAAGTCAGTCACACAGTGCGGGAACGGGCCCAGCCGTCTCAGGACACCACGGTGGCTTGGGAGGCCTTGGCCCCTTGGTTGTTCTGTGCCAGCGGACAAATCGAGATTTCGCCCTGGCTCCAGCTGTCTCTCCCTACGGCTACCAAAATCAGAGGGGGTGTCGCCCACGCGGAGGACTTGTAACCATGGTAGAGCCCTGGGGGGTTGGAGATCTGGAGGGGCATTTGCAACCCCAGCCTGGGTCAGGCCCGCATAACGAGCATGCCCGTGAACAGAGGCAGGGGGCCAGATTCAGTCGCCCACTTGGCGGGAGTTCGGTTGTCATCCTCCGGCCTGCGCTGGCGTGAGAGCAGAGTCCGGCTCCGAACGGGATCTCGAGGAGGACCCAGTGCAGCTGGACCTTGTCCGAGGGGTGCAGCTGCGCGTCACCCAGGGCAGATCGTGGGCCCTGCCACGCTCGGAGGCCCTGACAGGCGCTCGCCGGCTGTGCCCTCTCCCCGCCGTGCGGCGCACAGCGGAAGCCGGACACTGCGGCAACCGCAGCGCATTCTAGAACACTCGCCGCAGCTGGGAGCCCGGCTCAGCTGAGGACTCCCATCTGGCGTGGGATGGGACCGGACAGCCAGGCTGGAATGACGGCCGAGGTGGCGTAATCCTGGGATCAGGCGCTCAGCTCATGCCGGAAAAGAAAAATCAGGTTTTTAGCCCTGGAGCCAGAGGAAAACCCACAAACCTCATCCTAGAGCGACGGGCGTCTGCCTGAGAAATCGGTTTCCCACTCGGAACGTTCCACCGGCAAACCACCTCCCTGCCACGGGAGAGCGAGGCTGGCGGGAGAATCCTTCCATCCGCCTCGCGCTGCCTGCACAGGGGCCTGCCTTACGTTAACCGAGAGGGTGTGAATCTTTCACACCCCTGCGGGACCTGGGAACGCCTCCCTCGTGTTCTAGCATGGCCCAGGCCCCACAAACTGGTATCGGCTGCCTGCCCGAGCCTGAAACAAGAGTCCAAGAAGCACAAATGGCTCCACTCGATACTGAACGCCACGGTCATAAAGAGGGGGAGAGTCACAGCTAGGGAGGGGGGCTGCAGGGGCTCCCCCCCCCAAAGGATGTAGCA